GGCGATGTCTAAGTCAAGACACGTCCGGCCCTACGGAGGCCGGGCACGGCGTCGTCACGTTCGGGATTGACGCCGAGTACCCCAAGGAGGAGCTCACCATGATGGATTACACCTGGGTCATCGACCAGGGGAAGAATGCTAATGCCACCAATGACCTCTATGAGAAGACATTGTTCGAGTTTTGCACGGAAGAAGACAGCCAGCTCGGTCAGGTCGCGAGCGAGCGGGAGGACGCAAAGAATATTCGAACCACAAGGAAGAATGCGGACCTCAGCAAGAAGACCGGGTTGGACTATTCCCTCAAGATCGCCGACGAGAATCCAGGAGCGGACCTGTGGGGGAGCTTACCGTGCACGGCGGTCAGTGCTCTGCAGAACGGCTACGTTGGCCGGGCTGGGTCACAGCACTGGGCCAGGCTCGAGAACAAGCGACGGAACCTCAAGAAGATGGTAGACAACTTCATCCTGCTTGGCCGACTCGTCAAGGCTAATGGCGGAGACATTCACTTCGAATGGCCCCGGAGCTGTCATGGATGGAAGATGTTTCCGCAGCTAATGACGCTCTTTGGCGAAATGGGAATGGAAAAGGCAAATTTCGACGGTTGCCAAGTCGGCGTTACCAGTTGCCACGGCGCGCCCATCTACAAACCATGGACGGTATGGACGAGCAGGAAGAAGCTAGCCACGGCACTGCGAGGTAAACGGTGTCCGGATCCAGAGGGACACGGGCATGCGGACTGCCGTGGACGAGATGCGACTGGATCAGGACGATTTCCGAAACAACTCGCGAAGCTGATCTGGAAAAGCATCGTGGATCCGCCGAACCTTCTAGGCTTCGTCGGGGAGCTGAAGACGGAGGAGAAGGCGCTCGCAGGAACCAAGACGGAAATGTACGACACCGAAAAGGAAATATAATTCACAGCCGAGGAGCAGAGTGACTGGAGTCAGCTGGAACCGCTGAAGCAGAGTGAGCTGATGAAGGCAGCGATGCGTCTACATCGGAACACGGGACATCGACCTCCGAGAGTGATGGTCCGAATTCTACGACGACGCGGTGCCACAGCAGAAACCATTGCAGCGGTGAAGCAGATCAAGTGTAGCTCGTGTATCGAGAGCTAAGCGCCGAAGCCAAGACCAGCGGCAGTTCTGGGGCCCGCCAGGGATCTCTGGCGAGTGGTCGGAGTAGACGTGAAGGAGATCGTGGGCAAAGACGACATCAAGCGGAAGCACCTTGTGATTGTCGACGAGGCCAGCAAGTTCACTCCAGCTGTGAAGATATTCAGCTGCTCGAGCACTGAGTCCAGAAACTGCGCGACTAAGGAACTGTTGGAAGCTTTTCGAGCGCATTGGCCAGACAGATACGGAATGCCTGCCGTACTGCGTCAAGATCCAGAAGGAGCCTTCGTATCTCATGAATTCTTCGAGAGCATCTCTGGAGAAGGTGTGATACTGGATCCCTGCGCTACTCAGGCACACTGGCAGAACGGGATAGCCGAAAGAGCCATCAAGACAGTCTTCGACTGTGCGAGGTCCCTGCACAAGGATCGCGGCACAGACTTGGAGAGAGCGGCGCACCAGGCGGCGGAGGCTCACAATACTGTGGAGCGAGTCGACGGCTATTGTCCAAAGGCAGTGGGCATTCGGAAGAGACAAGAACTGGTCCGGGACACTTACCAAAGACGATGACCTGTACATAGTGAAGTGCTCAAACCAAAGCTACATGGAGAATTTGTCCAAACGTGTTCTAGCATCGAAGGTTATTGGAGATTGGATACTCAAGCAACAGCAGGCGAGATCGGCCGCAGCTAGAGAACATCGCGTGCAGCGATTTGTCCCAGGCATGCTGGTGTGTGTCTGGAGATGCGGCAAGATGGCGAACCACCACGCGCTGGAGAAGACACATGGAGTTGATCGTGGGAGATGGTTCGGACCCGGTACTGTGCTTGGAGTAGAGACGGTGCAAGCACATGGAGAGAACCCTCAACCCTCTCGGAAAGTGTGGGTGGTCATGGGAGCTCGGCTGTGGCGATGCGCCCCGGAACAACTTCGAGCAGCCAGCCCGCGCGAGGAGGACATCTTCACGGAGGAGAATGGAACACCTTGGACATTTGTCGAAGCGCTGAACCATCTTAACAAGGGCGAGGTGATCAGCGTGGACAAAGAAGACGTGCCGATGTACGAGGAGACGTATGCTCCGGAAGCGACCGCAAGGGCGCCAGACGACAGCGATCTCAAGGACTACTGGACTAAGGAAGAGTTCGAAGGAATAACAGCATATGTACGCGTGCATCTTCGGAGTCGGAAGACCCTGTTTGCTCCTGAAGGATACAAGGCCTCGATCGAGGGGGCGACGATGGAACGTGTCATCGTGGCGAAGTTCGAGGACGAATCCATGGAAACAGTCAGAGACGAGAACTGGAACGCACACAGGCAGACACAGAGATCCTTGAAGGGGCGCTGGACGGGGAACACATATTTCTTCCCCAGACAAAAGGGCACGGATGATCGGAAAGACGATCCTGCGACGGCCGAGAGAGAAATCATTCCAGATTCCTCAACCTCATCGGCTGGAGCAACGGGGTCGGGGGCGATGCCTCCGAACCGTTCGTTTACCACCAGGACCTGTCCATGAAGGTGATGCGACCGAGGCCGTGCGAGTTGCCGTCGAGGACCAGGACGATCCAGACCTGATGGTGGACACCAAGATAGGACCGACTCCCATCACGAACAATGAGGAGAGAGCGACTCCGAACAGGAGGGCCGAATCAGGAAAGAGAAGGAAGAATACTGACCTGTTCGAGAAGACGAAAAGGTGGATACGCATGAAGACACCCTACGGACCGTCATTAAGAGCTTTCGGCACGTTCTTTGATGACGAGGCTTCGGACTGGGACCAGCTCAGCTCGACTGGAGCGATTTTGACCTAAGTGCTTACGCGGCCAGTGAGCTGGCCGAGGACATTTCCATACCCGTTGGAACCGAGTTCATCGAGGTAGCTTTCGAAGCAACCGATGGAGAAGCACTTGGCAAACTCTGTCAACAACCTGAACGCTACGTGAGCAAGGCGATAAAGAAGGGCCAGACCGAAGCCAGTGTCAAGCACATGACGAGCGAACAGAAGCGTCTGATGAAGGCGGCGAAGCTTGTCGAAGTGCGCGACCGGATCGCGAACGACGTACTGGAAAGACTTCTGGCACATATTAAACCAAAGACCGAGGACGTGCTCAAGACCAGGTGGGTGCTGACGTGGAAGAAGGACGAGGCGACTGGGAGCAGCCGAGCAAAAGCCAGACTCGTGGTTCTTGGATACCAGGACCCCAGACTTGGTGAAGAACCGGTGGCATCACCAACGATGACGAGACGGGCAAGGAATATGATCTTCCAACTTGCAGCCATGGAGTCCTGGAGACTGAAGAAGGGCGACGTCAAGGCAGCTTTCCTACAAGGCAAGGGTCTCCCAGAGGACGAGCCTGTGTTCATAGCAGCCAATGAGGAGCTGGCGGAGGAACTGGGATTACCGCTGGGCGCACTGATGCGACTACGGAAAGCAGTATACGGTCTATGCCAAGCTCCAAAATCATGGTATGAAAGTGTGGATGCACTGATGGAGCAGCTCGGAGGACAACGATGCGTATCGGACCCATGTGTCAGGGTATTCAGCGATCAAGACGGAGTCTTCGGGATCGTAGGTACGCGCGTGGACGACTTCCTGATTACCGGCGACAACAGCAAGCGATGGTTGGAAATCGAAACAAAGCTGCAGAAAGCGTTTCGGTGGACACCCTGGGAAGGAGGAGAGTTCAAGCAGACTGGGCTGATGGTCAGTCAGGACACGTGTGGACGTATTACGATCCACCAGAAGGAATTTGTCGACAACATAAAGGATATCTAGATTTCCAGCGAGCGAAGAAAGCAGCGAACCGAGAAACTCACGGATAGCGAGATGACCGAATAACGTGGAGCTCTTGGTGAAATCCAGTGGGTAGCTACACAAACCCTGCCAAGATTTCAAGCGCTGTGCTCGATATTCCAGAGCAGCGGACCGCCGGCGACGGTGGAAACGCTCTTCGGTATAAACAAGTTGATTCGACAGATCAAGCTCGACACCAACTACACGCTGACTTTCGAGCCGTTCGAAGGAAAGGCGGTAGTTGTGGGATGGAGTGACGCAGCTTTGGCAAATCGACTTGATGGACTATCGACTGGAGGTTACGTCATCGGTATCGCTCCTGAAGAGATCCTAGAAGGAAAGCGCACACCCGTTGGCTGGCTATCTCACCGCAGTGGGAAACTCCAACGCGTTGCAAGGAGCTCGCTGGCAGCAGAAGTGCAGGCGCTGACTGTCGCAGAGGACGAGTTGTTTATGGTGCGAATGATGTGGGCAGAATTGAACGGATTCGTGTCGGACGTCGTCGCAGGAACAGCCAGCGCTGGACGAGAACTGAGACCGATGGTCGAAGGAGTTCGAGAGGTACGGGCATGGCTTTGCGTGGACGCGAAGCGCATCTACGACTGCCTCGCCAAGCAGGTTCAGATGCAGAGCCTAGCCGAGAAGCGGACCGCACTTGAGTTGATGGCGTTCGAGCGCTGCATCGAGGAAACTGGCCTGATTGTGCGATGGTGCCACTCGGAGGCCAACCTGAGCGACAGCTTGACGAAGGCTAGTGCCTATGGACCAATTGAACTCTACATGCGTACTGGTAGCTGGGTCCTTCTCTATGACGAGGAGCAGCTCAGTGCTAAGAAGCGAAAGGAGAGAGGCCTCACCAGATTCGAGACGAACAAGAACGATTTTGCCGGCCTCATCCGAGAAGCATTCAAAAACGCAGACATATCACTACCTGATGCGGCAGACGGAGGTGAAGAAGACGATAGGGATCAGGTTTGCGGCGAACCCCTTAAACAAAACGTCTGAGTGGGAAAGGACAGGCTGCGCTCTGTTAGGTGGCCCGCTCTTTAGTACATGGTGCCAGATGCCGCAGACGGCGCTGTGGATTTTTCTTAATCGTCAAAAGAACTGTTTGCCAATGAATGGCCCCTTCGACGCCGGTCGCGGTTGCAGAGGCAAGAAACATTTCCGGGGGGCGGCGTGCGGATGGTGCCGCGCCGCCCCCCGGACATGTTTGGGAGATCCCGGCGATGGCAGCCGCCGATGCGCTCCAGCAGCCTTGCGGCGACGGCGTCGTCCTTGGAGGCGCTCACGAAGCGCTGATGCCAGCCCCGCGTCAAGGGCTTGGCCTGGCTGTCCCGAACAAGCGCTTCCGCCGTGACGCGCAGGCCACGGACGTCCCAGGCGCGGCGCATGTGGATGCACGTGAAGGGCTTGCCACCCAAGTGGCACAAGAGGTCGTCCCACCTCGCGGGCAGCACCGTGCCCCGCAGATCCTCCGGGTCAGAGCTTGGCTGGGCCTTTGCGGCAGCCTGGCGCGCCGCCGTCACTCTACCCTTGGCACCAGAGCAGGCGATGATGATTAGGTCGCCAGCTCGGACCGTGAAGAAGCGGCCCTTCCCTACGGTGCACACAATCTTCTTGTCGCCGGCCGCCAAGTCATCCGCCCGTAGCTCTGTAACGCAGACGATCCAAGTCTGGCGCGGGACGGCTGCCTCTGCTGATGGCGCTGGCCCTGCCGCGGCGGCCTTTTCCTTTGGGGCATCGTTCTCATTCTTCTTGTCCGTCCTTACTTGCTGGCCGAAGAAGGTCCCATTGAAGTCCGACGATACCATGCCGTGCTCTTCACGGACGTGCTTCATCATATAGACGTACTTAAGACGTTGGCACCTGCTTTCGGGGAACCAGCCCGCGTAGGGCGGCCTGCTGTCCTTGTCGAATGGCGGCGGCGGCGCTGCGCCGGCCGAAGTGGCGCCCTCGGCCGCCGCGTTCTCGGCGGCTGGCGCCGAGGCAGCCGCGCTCGCCGCGCTCGCCGGCACCTCTAAGGGCTTCTTCTCGCCCCGAACAGCGTCGCCGAATAATGTCCCATCACAGTCAGACGCGCTCGCGCCCGGGTGATCCTCGCGGATGTGCTCCATCAGCTCACAGTACGTGTCTCGCTGGACGCCACAGTCGGGGAAGAAACACTCGAATGGCGGCGCGCTGGACGCGTCGAACGGAGGAATCGGGACCGCCCCTTTCTTCCCGCCACCGCGCAAACCTCCTGTCAGCATCGACGTGCACTCCTTGGCAATGCCGTAATCAACGATCAGGCAGTCGTCCTCGTCAAGCTCCTTGCGCCCGAGGAGAAGGCGCTGCATGCGGGCGGGGACGCGGTGCTTGTCTTCGATTTTATGTTTCGCGCCGCCGATTGTGTCGCTGGCCCTCAAGTCCAGCGCGACAGCGGTTCCCGCGAGCGCCCGCACAAATGCCTGAAATTCGTCCTCGGCCAGCGCCGCGCCGCGCGGGCTCAGCGACGTCAGAATCGCGGTGAGATTAAACGCGATCCATACCACGCGGCCGTGCCTAAGATCTGCCTGGCGCCCCCCCGTGACCCTCCGTGAATCCAGCGGGGTCACACTCCAGCGCGACCTTCGCGCCGCGTGTGAAGTAGGTGGGCATTGCGGGCGCCGCGCGATGGCCGCCCTGGTCCGCCTTTTGCTGCGAGCTCGTCGGGGCCGAGCAGCGCGGCGGGCAGCTCGAGCACCTCCGCGTCGCGTCGTCATGATCGTGCCCAAATCCCACAGTCACGCCCGACACGTCGAGGAACGTGTTCTTCACGGTGAGGAAGCTGTGTCGATGAACCAAGATGACAAAGTCTTACTATCAATCATGCTTCCGCTAGGCGCCTTGCGGCTGAAGCTGCTGTTCCGCGCTGAGCCAAGAGAAGGGCGGCGACGGCGACGCGCTGCCTCTGCCTCCTGCTGCTCCTCGTCCTCCGCGTCCACGTCCACGCCCTCCACGAAAATCCTCATCCTGCAGGCTGGATGGGAGGAGGGGGGGAGAGGAAGGTGCTCGTGGCCGGTCGGCCGGCGCAGCTGCCGCCGCGGCGTGCTGCGAAATGTCCCTGTCCCCGGCGTGCTGCGGGATGTCCTGGTTCGCCAGCCCGGCCGGCGTCTGGTTGCTCGTGTCGGGACGGGAGAGGGCCGGCAGCGCCGCCCTGCCTCCTCCGCCTCGTCCTCGTCGTCCTCGCCCTCCTCCTCGACCTCCTCGACGTCCTCCTCGTGCAGGCAGGAGGGGGGAGGAGGAGGGAGGGCCTGCTCGTGGCAGTGGTCTGCCCTGCCTCGCGGCCTGGTTGCTGCCGTGGCCCGCTTCCGGCGCGATGCCCACGAAGATGTCCCAGTAGCGCTTCAGGACCCGGTCCTTCAAGCGCAGGATGTTCAGGGCGAGCTTCCCCTGGCCCTTGGCGGCCGCGCGGTGCGCATCATGCGACTGGCCGTCAGGGGGGTCCCATTCGGCCCTCGTCCACCCATTGAGAAGAAGGGCGGACCGTTCGTGCTGAGGCAGATGCCCGCCGATGGTGGCCTCGTGGAGGCCCCGGCGCTGCCGCTCATGCTCGGTGGCGTCGCACCGCCACATCAAGTGCCACGTGGTCGCAGCACTGTGGCAGATGGGGCAGTCATGCGCCACTTCGTCCGTGACGTGGCTGAGGCGGTCTGGAGAAGGCTCGGCGCCAACACAGCATCGCCACCGCCACCTCTGCTCCGCGGCCGTCGGCGCCTCCTCCACGAAGCGCCGCAACGTCTTGACGTCCAAGCTCGGCACCTCGACCGGCACCTTCCTGGCGGTTATTCTGCAGGTCCGCATCGTGTGGGCCCGCCACGTCTCGCGAACGCAGTGGTCCAGAAAGCTCTTTGACACCTCCGCGAGGCGGAAGCCGTCACCGCCGAAGGCGACCTCGAAGGGCGACGGGCCGGGGTGCCAGCCCATGGTCTCCAGGACCCCGCGGACCCGGTCCAGCCAGCGCAGGCCGCTGCCGTCGCAGTGGTCCCACCGCGCCTCCACCGCGGGCCCCAAGTGGGTGCGGGCGACGCGTCTGAGCATGCTCACGGTGCTGGAGAGCGCGAGGCCGTCGGGCTCGAACTTCCAGGCCTTGTCCTTCATGCACCATGCCGCGCCCTTGTGGCGCCAGGCTGCGTGCCTGCGTCTGCTTTCCAGTGCCAACTCCATGGCAGACCGTGCGCGGGTCACGGTCTCCTTGGGGAACGAGCACCACGGCGCGTCCCACCGAATGCTGCCCGCCAGGGCCATGACGACCCGCTTCCTTGCCCTGCGCCCGAGGCGCGCTGCCTTGGCCACGGTGCGCAGCCGACGCAGCTTGTCGAGCAGGTTGGCCACCCGCGTCCTGGCTCGCGGGGCGGCCGCTGGCGGCTTCTGGCCAGTGAGATCCAGCCGCACGCCGAGCAAGTCGAGGTGGTCCTTGTGCTGGCCGCCGGCGACGTTCACCGCCGCCCTGTCCTGCTTGCTGTCGTCCTCCTTCTGGCCGCTCAGCTCGTCCAGGCGCCTGAGCAGGGCTTCGGCGCCGTCCAGGGTGTCCCTGTCGTTGGCGTAGGTGGTCCGGTCGTCCACGTAGGTGCCCATGCCCACATCGAAGACGGAGCAGACCTTGCGCGCGTGGGCGCCCGCCAGGATAGCTGCGCCGAGCGGAGAGGCGGGGTCGCCTTGTGCCAGGCCGCGCAGCACCAGGAGCAAGTCGCTGGCGTAGCCGCTCACCTTGACCACCGCGTCGCGGCGGACATTGTTCATGAAGAGGAGCACTGCGTCCTTTCGGTGCATGCCGAAGAGCACGGCAACCTCGACCACGAGCTCCGGCTGGATCCGCGTGAAGCAGTTCGAGAGGTCGCTCTGGCGAATGTGCAGCGGGGTGCCCTCGTGGGCGGCCTTTTCGATAGCGAGGTCCACCGTGAGCAGGATCTCGTGCGCATCCGTGGGCTGGACCTGGCTGGCCCACTGCTTGTACTTGCTGACAGCGACCCTGCTGATGGCCCGGGCGACAGACTGGGCGACGCCAATAGGCCGCAAGTCGGGCTTGTCACTGGTCTTTGGGATCATGGTCACCTCCTGCGCCTTGAGGGCCGCGGGCCAAGTCCCCGTGTCTCTGATGGCGTTTGCCAGGTCTGCCAGGAGGTCCAGCACGATGCCAGGGGCCTGTGCGAGCTGCTCTGCTTTGATTTGCCCGGGGCCCGCCGCAGTGCCGGCGGTCTTTCGGAGGGCGGCCCGGAGCTCCGGCGCCTCGAACATCCAGCCAATGTCCGGCGGCTCCACGAGCTCGACAACGTCCCTCACCTCCCGGAGGTAGTCGCCGATCTGGTGCTGCTCCAGACGCGGGTGCTGCTTCTTCTTCCACTGTCGCACAGCTGCCGCGACGATGGCCTTGGGGTCGGCCGTGGGCCGGCCACGCTGGTCTGAGGCCGCCTTCACAGAGAGCGGGGGCCTGTCGGCCACGTACCGGAAAGTTGCCTTGAGGTCTCCAGCCTGCTGCCGCTCCCTCCACGCCGCGAGCCGGCGCTGCTTGTTCTCCTCGGCCAGCTGCTGGAGCTTCGCGAGGATCGTTGTGCGGAGCGCTGCCAAATCCTCGCCGTCGGCCGCGGTGCCCTCGCCCAGGACGCCGTCGTCGACGAGGCTCTGTACCCCGCTGCGGATATTGCCAAAGAGGGAGAGGCCGTCGGAGCCGGCCCGAGGCCCTTCGAGGGCGTGGTGGACACGCCGGAGCAGCCTGTGGAGACGTCTCTCGACCACCGTCTGCCGTTGTCCGTCTGGGCCCTTGCAGACCCGTTCCCAGCGCTTGAGCACGGTGCCGTGTTTGCGCCGATGCCTGTTGCCCGGGACGCCGGCGGAGTCCTCGAGCATGTCGCACCAGAGGGCCCACATAGCTTCCACATCCTGGCGGGCCGCTGCAGCGTCCCACTCGTCTCTGCGCTTGTCCATGGCCTGGGAGAAGGTCTCGTCCCAGTCCTCCGTCGCGAGCGGCGGGTTGAGCTCGTCGAACTTGACCACGGTCTGCACCTGCGTCCGGAGCTCCCGCCAGAGCTCAAAAACGATCGCGTCGTGGTCGCTAATGGCCGTGTCCGTGGCGAAGGTCTGGGCCTCCAGCTGCTGCAAGCAGGCGAAGTCCAGGAGCCTCTCCCCGTGGGTGGTAATGTCCTGAATGTCCAGCATCTCGTGGCAGTAGTTC